CGAAAGGATGTTCGTTTTGGCAGATATTTGCACAGGACAAATGTCCACAATTATTTGCAGGGTTCATAAATAAACCCCTTACTGTTATGCCAGATTGCAGGATTTTACGCATGCTCGCATCTTCTTACACAAATACTGTATTTTTATATTGTTAAAGTATTAAGTTAAATAAAAAAATTGGAAAATATATATGAAATGAAATGTACAATTAGGAGGTAATGACGTCACTGCTACAAAACATGGTTTATGACACACGTGTATTATCCGTTGTGACCACCAGAGGGAGCCATTGAGCGGGCAGTTCTGTATAATCCCCGATTAGGATTCCGCTGACATGCAACAGACACCGTTATACATACAACACGTGTTCAGCCTTGTGCAGCATTTGAATCATTCATCGGGTTTGATATTAAAGTTCAGTTAATTAGTACAGTGAGGCTACGACGAGGGGAAATATCTCTGATTACCCAATCGTGTGCAAGGGAAATAAAAACAAATAAAACGCAAAGGGGGGGGAGGGGGGATTTATCAACGCTGGAGCAGACAAAATGTGGAGCAGCTGCACATGGCAACCAATCGGCTTGTCTCTTCAGTTTGTTCAGTTAAGATTTGGAAATGAAAGAGAGAAGCCGATTGGTTCCTATGAACAGCTGCTCCAGATTTTGTCTGCTCCAGTTTCGATAAATCCCCTTCAAGGTTTTTTGCTCGCACGTGATTGGATGATTGAAGCTTCACCTTATTCCCTGAGCTAAAGTGAACGTTCATTTTGAGAAGCGAGGACTCTTCACTCCTTTTATTAAATCCTCCCAAATAAGACAATCCGGCAAGCTCAGGGACTGATCTGGCTACAAAGAAACGTCAAATTTGATTGGTTGCCTCGGGGTAATCCCTGACTTGCTGCAGCCCCTAATGTACATTGTGAGGAGCTCAGAGTGTGCAGTGACATCAGAGGAGGCGGTACAACTGTGCAAGACTGGAGGGGAGGACGGAAGTTAGATAGAAGACTGAAGGGAAGGACGGAGGTCAGATAGAAGACTGAAGGGGAGGACGGAGGTCAGAAAGATGACTGGAGGGAAGGACGAAGGTCAGATAGAAGACTGAAGGGAAGGACGGAGGTCAGATAGAAGACTGAAGGGAAGGACGGAGGTCAGATAGAAGACTGAAGGGGAGGACGGAGGTCAGAAAGATGACTGGAGAGGAGGACGGAGGTCAGATAGAAGACTGAAGGGGAGGACGGAGGTCAGATAGAAGGCTGAAGGGAAGGACGGAGGTCAGATAGAAGGCTGAAGGGGAGGACAGAGGTCAGATAGAAGACTGAAGGGGAGGACCGAGGTCAGATAGAAGACTGAAGGGAAGGACGGAGGTCAGATAGAAGACTGAAGGGGAGGACGGAGGTCAGATAGAAGACTGAAGGGAAGGACGGAGGTCAGATAGAAGACTGAAGGGAAGGACGGAGGTCAGATAGAAGACTGAAGGGAAGGACGGAGGTCAGATAGAAGACTGAAGGGAAGGACGGAGGTCAGATAGAAGACTGAAGGGAAGGACGGAGGTCAGATAGAAGACTGAAGGGAAGGACGGAGGTCAGATAGAAGACTGAAGGGGAGGACGGAGGTCAGATAGAAGACTGAAGGGGAGGACGGAGGTCAGATAGAAGACTGAAGGGAAGGACGGAGGTCAGATAGAAGACTGAAGGGAAGGACGGAGGTCAGATAGAAGACTGAAGGGAAGGACGGAGGTCAGATAGAAGACTGAAGGGAAGGACGGAGGTCAGATAGAAGACTGAAGGGAAGGACGGAGGTCAGATAGAAGACTGAAGGGAAGGACGGAGGTCAGATAGAAGACTGAAGGGAAGGACGGAGGTCAGATAGAAGACTGAAGGGAAGGACGGAGGTCAGATAGAAGACTGAAGGGAAGGACGGAGGTCAGATAGAAGACTGAAGGGAAGGACGGAGGTCAGATAGAAGACTGAAGGGAAGGACGGAGGTCAGATAGAAGACTGAAGGGAAGGACGGAGGTCAGATAGAAGACTGAAGGGAAGGACGGAGGTCAGATAGAAGACTGAAGGGAAGGACGGAGGTCAGATAGAAGACTGAAGGGAAGGACGGAGGTCAGATAGAAGACTGAAGGGAAGGACGGAGGTCAGATAGAAGACTGAAGGGAAGGACGGAGGTCAGATAGAAGACTGAAGGGAAGGACGGAGGTCAGATAGAAGACTGAAGGGAAGGACGGAGGTCAGATAGAAGACTGAAGGGAAGGACGGAGGTCAGATAGAAGACTGAAGGGAAGGACGGAGGTCAGATAGAAGACTGAAGGGAAGGACGGAGGTCAGATAGAAGACTGAAGGGAAGGACGGAGGTCAGATAGAAGACTGAAGGGAAGGACGGAGGTCAGATAGAAGACTGAAGGGAAGGACGGAGGTCAGATAGAAGACTGAAGGGAAGGACGGAGGTCAGATAGAAGACTGAAGGGAAGGACGGAGGTCAGATAGAAGACTGAAGGGAAGGACGGAGGTCAGATAGAAGACTGAAGGGAAGGACGGAGGTCAGATAGAAGACTGAAGGGAAGGACGGAGGTCAGATAGAAGACTGAAGGGAAGGACGGAGGTCAGATAGAAGACTGAAGGGAAGGACGGAGGTCAGATAGAAGACTGAAGGGAAGGACGGAGGTCAGATAGAAGACTGAAGGGGAGGACGGAGGTCAGATAGAAGACTGAAGGGAAGGACGGAGGTCAGATAGAAGACTGAAGGGAAGGACGGAGGTCAGATAGAAGACTGAAGGGAAGGACGGAGGTCAGATAGAAGACTGAAGGGAAGGACGGAGGTCAGATAGAAGACTGAAGGGAAGGACGGAGGTCAGATAGAAGACTGAAGGGAAGGACGGAGGTCAGATAGAAGACTGAAGGGAAGGACGGAGGTCAGATAGAAGACTGAAGGGAAGGACGGAGGTCAGATAGAAGACTGAAGGGGAGGACGGAGGTCAGATAGAAGACTGAAGGGAAGGACGGAGGTCAGATAGAAGACTGAAGGGAAGGACGGAGGTCAGATAGAAGACTGAAGGGAAGGACGGAGGTCAGATAGAAGACTGAAGGGAAGGACGGAGGTCAGATAGAAGACTGAAGGGAAGGACGGAGGTCAGATAGAAGACTGAAGGGAAGGACGGAGGTCAGATAGAAGACTGAAGGGAAGGACGGAGGTCAGATAGAAGACTGAAGGGAAGGACGGAGGTCAGATAGAAGACTGAAGGGAAGGACGGAGGTCAGATAGAAGACTGAAGGGAAGGACGGAGGTCAGATAGAAGACTGAAGGGAAGGACGGAGGTCAGATAGAAGACTGAAGGGAAGGACGGAGGTCAGATAGAAGACTGAAGGGAAGGACGGAGGTCAGATAGAAGACTGAAGGGAAGGACGGAGGTCAGATAGAAGACTGAAGGGAAGGACGGAGGTCAGATAGAAGACTGAAGGGAAGGACGGAGGTCAGATAGAAGACTGAAGGGAAGGACGGAGGTCAGATAGAAGACTGAAGGGAAGGACGGAGGTCAGATAGAAGACTGAAGGGAAGGACGGAGGTCAGATAGAAGACTGAAGGGAAGGACGGAGGTCAGATAGAAGACTGAAGGGAAGGACGGAGGTCAGATAGAAGACTGAAGGGAAGGACGGAGGTCAGATAGAAGACTGAAGGGAAGGACGGAGGTCAGATAGAAGACTGAAGGGAAGGACGGAGGTCAGATAGAAGACTGAAGGGAAGGACGGAGGTCAGATAGAAGACTGAAGGGAAGGACGGAGGTCAGATAGAAGACTGAAGGGAAGGACGGAGGTCAGATAGAAGACTGAAGGGAAGGACGGAGGTCAGATAGAAGACTGAAGGGAAGGACGGAGGTCAGATAGAAGACTGAAGGGAAGGACGGAGGTCAGATAGAAGACTGAAGGGAAGGACGGAGGTCAGATAGAAGACTGAAGGGAAGGACGGAGGTCAGATAGAAGACTGAAGGGAAGGACGGAGGTCAGATAGAAGACTGAAGGGAAGGACGGAGGTCAGATAGAAGACTGAAGGGGAGGACGGAGGTCAGATAGAAGACTGAAGGGGAGGACGGAGGTCAGATATAAGCCAGTTTATGACACAGAAATCACTCACCTTCCTCCCATTGGCCTCCAGCACAATCTTCTCAGCCTTGGATTTGCTCAGTGGATAGGCCTGGTCATGGTACACGGTGTATTTCGTGTCCTCGTTACCTCTGGAACCAGAAGAACATATAATAAGCTCCGTGGATTGCGCTGATTCAGCAAATCACATGAAAACCCCGACAGTGACGTCTCTCATTGGCTCCCTTCTGATGTGTGACATATACAATGGAAAGTGTTTTGTTGTCTCTGTTCAATAAATGCAAAAAAAAACCCTGTTGATCCTGCCAGAAATCTTGTGAGCTGAGGACTTCCTGTGCTCTCTGTCTGTTCCGACCATTACCAGTTACACTTTTCCCAGTTATTAATGTGGACTACAGAACAACCCCCACTCTTTATCCTAGGGTGACAACATGGCTCCTCCAGCGACACTGTACAGTGAGCGTTGCCTCAGGCGGCATCTAATTGGGTCACATTGGGGGGGGTGCCTGCCGCCCCCTTTCCTGCCAGAGGGATCCAGGCTGGTAGGCCGTGGTGTCACAAGGGGGGTGCGGGGAGGGGGCGTCCCGGGTGCCACCATTGGAGGGGTGACACCAAAATGACTGACAGTCATTTTGGGGTCGCCCCCTATGAAAAGTCAGGCACTTGGTCACGGACAGAGAGCCCGACAGCTGCAGGAGAGAGGAGGGGACCCGGCGGCATACCTCATCCATCCGGGTGAACGTCCCCTCCTCTCTCTGCCGGCGTCCATCACCAAGATGGCGTCAATAAGATGCGCGGTGACGTCACGGCGGGGTGTCACCCCTTCTCCTCTCCGGGTGACACCCGTCCTGGGGACGCCCCTGCTGGTAGGAACTGTTAGCACCCTGTGACACTCTGGCTGGCATCCCACCCACCCAGCTCCTGCCAACCAATGAAGTCAGTGTGCTGGACGGGATGCCAGAGGTAACACCACCGCCGTGCACCCCAAAACCCCCTAGAGTAAGATCACATACAGCGTGTTCACTCTAGGTTCATCTCCCCGCCAGTGCAGTTTAGTAAGCTGAAGAATGATGCCGCACGGAAAAGCCAATGAAAAGTATTTATCGCTGCCGACATTTCAGTGTTCTAAGGGCGCAGCCTCCCAAAACCTCGTCATTAACCCCCTGCTGGTGACACTGACCTGAAGAATGGATCTCCGTGGATATTTGGACCCACAACCTCCATGCTGCTGGTGTAGACCAAGTACTGGATGCCTTCCTCCTGACACGCCCTCAGAACATTCTCCGTTCCTGTAAAGCCAAAAGGAGCCGCGGTCAGGTGACGGGGTAAAGCTCTAGTAAGGGGGTATTGAGGGGTACGGGTGACATGGGATGCAGAGGGTCCAAGAAGGGTATCCGAGTCAAACCACAAAGATACAACTTGGTCAAGCTGACTTCATTGTGAAGTATGACATCATCGTGTACAGCCTCCACTTCTGAGGTTGCCATTCTGTAGCCCATCAATATATTGTGACCGCCACAGTAATGGGAGCATTCTTCCCACCAACCTCCAGTGCCAAAGGGGCATATACCCCTGACCCTCAATCAGTTGGTTTCCAGCAGGGGTTCCTAAACATTTTATCATGGGTTCCTGGGTTCCTCGGGGTAGAGAGGTTGAGAAAGGCTGCGCGTAAGAGTCAAAAAATTATAATTGGAGTTCAAAAAAAGTTTCCTAATCACTTCTAATTCCAGATCAGTTCTTGGAACTCGTCCCACTAGCCCGGCTCTGGGCAAGCAGGGCCAAATGTACAGCGGGGAAGCCGCCGCTTGTTTTCTACACCTGCACTCTGCGGTGTCGCCAAGATCACTTGTATGCAGCCTATAGGTCTGCCGCTCTCAATTGGAGGGGGTGGGGGGAATTTGGCGGGTAGGCGGGAGCATTGAGGAACGTGGCCTTGGGGCAGCAGAGAGCGTAAATCCGGCCCTGGTCCCACTTCTCTGATTACCATTATGAAGGCTCAGTGACCCCGGAGGTTACATTATGTCTCCTCTAGAACCAAACAGCCCGAGGTTGTGAGCCGATGAACCTGCCAGACACGAGTCCAGCAATGTTCATCACCGTGTAACCGTCTCCTCTGAGTCACATTCAGATGATGTTCCTCATCAAACAAGAACCATGTGGACACGTTACAGCTATTTATATAAACATAGGAAAGGAAGTGCCACTTATAATAATCTGTGGGCTGCCCGGGACTGTTTATATAACAGGTCATGACCTTTAGATTCCAACATAGAGGACGGAAGAATTTATCAGCTCACAAAACAAACGCCCTCTGACTGTAGGGAAGAGGCGTTCTCCACCAACCATGGAGGCGTTCTCCTTCCATGGAGTCTAAGGGTTCCTCCAGAGGTTGCTAGAAGGTCCCTGAGCTGGGAGCAATGACAGATTGGTCTCCCACCTACAATGACCAATGTGACAGGACGATTTCCCACTGACATGCAATGTAAGGGGTCACTTCTACACTTGTTGCCAGTCAAAGGGGTAATTTCTCACCATTACACTGATGGACAGCATAGCGCCCCCTTACATTGGTGCACTGCATAGTGCCCCTTACATTGGTGGACAGCATAGCGCCCCCTTACATTGATGGACAGCATAGCGCCCCCTTACATTGATGGACAGCATAGCGCCCCCTTACATTGATGGACAGCATAGC